GGTAATTCAATTGAAATAGATAATCCGATCTGGTGATTATTCTTTATTTCTGTATTCCATGAAGAACCAGCTCCAAAAGTGCGGGTCACATGATAAGATGCCACAACCACTGCATAGCTTTTTAGAATCGTCTAGCATGCAGCTTTATTATTGTGAGTTTCTTACGTAACAAGAATTATGTAACAAAGCAATTTATTAGACGTGGCTTTGTTAATGGTACGGATCATATGGCCCGCACTTTTGGGGTTGTTCTGGCCAATTTAAATATAGCAATAATTAAAATTTGTCAAATTCAAAATTTTATATCTTAATGTGAAGTTCCAACATATTACATAAGAATATATTCACTCGCAATTAGCAGTTTTATAAACGTATATTTAGAAAACCAGAAGATTCAAAAATTAAACTTGTTAGCTACGAATTTCAAGTAAGAGAAATGAAATAGTAATGCCCGAAGATTCTATATAGTGAAATAAAATGTTTTTATTAAAAAAATATAGATTTAATATAAGAAAATATAAGTTATTCTTACTAGTAGTACTATTTGGAAACGCCATTGAGTTTATCGTGAATTTGACAATAAAAGTATATATATAAAACCTAAAAAAATATTGAATAGAGATACCATAACCATAAATTAAATTAATATTTAACAGAATGTAAAAATAGAACAGTTACACGCATAATATACTTACCATTTGTGGTCCAAGAACTCTGCCAATTACTTTAATTAAGTAAACCATATTTTCACTTTTCTTTTTGTAAATTTCAGTAACAAATATTATTTATAATTATTATTATTATTGTTTTTTTTTTTTTTTTTTTGTTTTATAAAGCGATATCGCTGTAAGATAAATCTGTATTTATTATTTTCCGTCGATTTTCAATTCATTAACCATTTTTAGTTGGCAGAAGTTTGTTCAGAGAGGAAAAATTATGTGCATCATTCATCCAGCTTGAAAATAGGAAAGTGCTGCATGTTGCGTTTGAGAAACATCATTTGCTCGACCATATCAGGATGAAGCCTGTTACGCAATGCAGTGATATGTAGTCCAGCATCAGAGAATAATCGCTCTGAAGGGACAGATGTTGCTGGTACCGAAAGATATTTCTGAGCCAGGCACGATAACACAGGATATTTTCCAGATCTATCTTTCCACCATGTTAATGGATCACAGCCCCTTTTCTCAATAGGTTCACGAAGATAACGATCAACTTCGGTCTCATTATAAATTTCATCATTCAATTCCTCATTACTATATAAAGCTGCAATTAAGCTATTAGCTGTTGCAGGTTCACGATCTGGAGTGTTAAATGGCTTATCAAGCCCAACCGAAGGTTGACGGTAATTTTCCTCAGTACAAAGTGTTCGCACTGTATCAATTGTCGTCGCCTTTATTGTTTCATCACCAAGAAATTTCAAACTTTTAATTCGCGGGTCCAAAAACGATGCAACAAGCCCAATTTTTTTAGGAACCTCCCAATATTCTTTAAGAGAAAGGAAACATGCAGCCTTAACCAGATCACATAAACCTTCATTAGTAACAGGTGTCTCAATTAACCGACGACCTTTAAATCGTGAATCATTATGTGCACTTTTTTTGACTTTGCTATGGTTACATTTGTTTTTTCGTCCTTGTGCTGCTTGTAATGGTTGTTGAAGTTGTTCCGAACTCACTAGTGTATCAAATTCATTTTCTATATCAGATTCAGGATCATCTTCCTCGATTGATTGGCTTTGACTATAAAATAAATAATAAATATTATATCAGATTTTTAAGAAAGAAAATCGTCTAAAGTCAGACAGTTTTTAAGTTGATTACTAATCTATCTATTTATGAATCAAAAATTATGAAGAGAATTGAACTTACTACTGTACTAGAGTTAATACCTGAATTCGGATTTAATGATTAAATCTGCTATATGATTGGTTATGATTGAAACTCATACGTACAGTACATATCATACTAATATAAATCCGGATTTAACATTTAATTATTAAATCTGGATTTAACTATCCAGATTTAACATTAATCATTAAAATCCGGATTCAGGTATTAACTCTATACTGTACCTGATTTTAGACGATCCTTAAAAAACATTTTTATTTTTAATAAAAAATTTTTTAACATGCCTATTAATAGGTCCGAATAATAAATCGGCGTAGTCATCTTCGGTTTGTTCATAAGAAGGTGCAAACTTCTTAATAAGCAATCTCATTGTCGGATAAATAAGGTTAAGAGTAGGATAGCTTGAACCAGAAAATATGTTGGTGGCCTCATAGAATGGCTTTAATAATGAAATAAGATTATCTAACAATCGCCATTCATTTTCAGTTAGATTTATTAATTTCAAATATTCGCCATCAAGTCTGTCGCAGCGTTCTGATTCTGAAGGCAACATTATAACAAGATACTCGATCGCTTTTCGTAGTTCTTTAAGCCGGACCCAAGCCAAGTATGAGGAGTTCCATCTTGTTGGCACGTCATCGATTGTTTGATAAATCTTTGGATATCTACATTTTTCTTGTGCATCCATAAGTCGTTCAGATTGCTTAGGGCTTTGAGAAAAAAAAAGAATTAAATTTTTTGCTCGCTTAATAAGTCGCACCGCAGGTTTAAGACCTTTTAGCACACTTAGTTGAAGTGTATGGGCTGAACAAGATGATCGTGTAACATTATCCATTAAACTAATCGCCTTTTTAACATTGGCACCGTTGTCAGTAGTAATGCAAAAAACCCGCCCAGTGAGTCCCCAATTAGTAATAACTTGATTTAGAGAATCTTCGATAGCTTCAGCTGTATGTAGTGATGGAAGTGGTTGTATTGTTAATAAAGCTTCCTTTAATTCAAAATTTGAATTGATCCATGTCACTGTGACCCCAATATATGCTTGATTGGTTCTTGAGCTCCATAAATCTGTCGTCAGATTAACATATCCGCCATCCGTATTTATCATACCAAATAATTGATCGCGACTCCAATCATAAGCCTTATTAATCATTTTTTTCACAGTTTTTTCACAAGGAATTTGAAATCCAGCTTCCATATAGTTTAAGAGTCGACGAAAAGCTTTACTTTGTAAAATATGAAAAGGTTGACAATCCTCGATTATAAATTCGACCAATAATTGCGCTATCTTTTCCTGTCTCCGCTTTGTAATGACATGCATAGCCTTGATGATTGAGTCATTAGTGTTGGTTCCCTCAGGATGGTCTTTATCAATTCGATGCTTAGACCAAAGATGGCCAAGCATATTTCCCGTTGAAGAATCATGTGCATACTTGACGGTAATGTTATTATTTTTACAGATTTTGCAAACAGTAAAATTGCCATTTTCTGTTGTCTCAACCTCGAAATGATCCCATACAATACTAGAATTATCGTGTTTTTTTCGCTTTTTTGATTTACACGCAGGCGATCTTTCAGATTCAAGTGGCTCCTCATATCCCGAAAATTCATCATTATTCGCAGAGGGTATATTATCCTCTAACATGTGATTAGACACTGAAGAACTCATTCGGGTAAATACACCTACAGTTCTTTTTTTTTTTTTTTTACTGTTATTTACGATAATTTTTTCTCACATAACATATTGATTTTAAAAGGTTCACCTGTCTGCAATATGTATTTCACACTTGGTGGAGAAATTCTTTGGTTCGACGGCCGCCGCTTAAGGTTTTTTTTTTCTTTTTTGAAAACACTGAAACTTTTTTTTATAATAATATATCCGGTTAATGGTGGCAAGCAAAGACATTCTAATGTTCTTATAGCGAATATTAACATTTTAAAAGATCATAATAACAGGGTTGTCTAAGAAGTTATACCTTTTTACAACTATAAACCCACCGCTCAAAAAAAAATAGCGGCACAAAAAAATTTTTTTTCAACCAATTTACATTTTTGGTTATATTTGAACCTTAACTTTAAACTTTATTCTTGATTCTGCAATATCCGGTTTGTAATATTACTGTAATC